GCTGCTGCAGATACATTCCATCAGACACAGCTATATGCCCCTAAAATAAAATGTGCTGAGAAGGTATACAGCAAGACATACCAGCAAGGATGAAGTTGAGACTGTTGCTGTATTTTCCACCGCTGGTTATTTTGTTCTCAGCTTTGCACTTGTATTCACCCAGATCGCTGGCAGAGTTGATAGTCAAGTTAAATAAACCAGGGGTCAAGTCTGTCCTATCTAAAGTGGCTAACTTCTGATTGTGTTTAAACAACGTGTATTTGACAGGTGGAGATCCAGAATCTGAGTGGCAGGAGAGGGTCACCTTCTGGTTCATTGCTACATTCCGAGTCCCCTGAAGAAGTATGAGCCTGGGATTGGACAGCATCTCTGGAAAGAAGAAACTTCTGAGTGAGTTCACTGCACCTATCATCCAAGAAACTCTCACATTTTTCTGAAAATATCTGGAGGACTAGGCTATCCTTATTTCTGTTGAAATAGGGGGTTATATTTTTTTCTGCCTCTGGTAGACGGCACCACAACTTTGTATTTTTCAAAATCAGTATGCAGCTTCAAACACTCAATGAAAAATGCATATCTTCATACAAAAGAGCGTTTATACATACAAAGCCAACAGATGTATCCAGATGAACCAACAAAACCACTTTTGAACTACAGCAGTAATGAAAATAGTAAGTATAAACGATAAATACAAATATTACAGGATGTTAATTGTAGGAGAAAGTAACCCTATATGCTAGTTGAGAGGTAGTATGTGAACCTGAAAATAAAAGCAGTATTTTATTTGTGGCTGTATGTAAACAGGCAGAATCAAACTTGTGTAAGTAGATGAAACTTTTGAATAGTAGCAGCAGGAGCCTTGACAGTCTCTCAAATTAGTTTACTTTTATGAAATTATACAAATAAATTTGTAATAAAACCTTGTAATGTCTTTTCGTAGAAAATGGTAATAAACTAGTCATGACTAAGATATATTATGACACTTCTAGAGGGAAAATTATGTTTTAAGAACTTAAAACAATTTTGACTGTACAAACAAATCAGCAAAGTCAGCAAAGAGAGACTTAACTTCGTCTAGAAACTTGTAAACTGACCCACTGCACAGACGGGCAAAAGATTTAGTTTTATATGAAGGTTTTGGACATTTTTAAAACCCTCCACCATTTTTTTGTTAACAGTCAATTTCAGCATACATACTAAAACCAAAGAAAGAGAACCTACCTTGGTCATTCGCAGTAGTTTTCTGAATCTGCTGAGACATTTGAACTAAGAGAAGAAAAGAAAGCTTTCAGATAGGAAACAATATGTCTTGTTTAGAAAGATTTATAATATGTAAGTAGCATATCCTTGGCTTACGGTAGGAAAACAGCAGAATTGTCAGAAAAAACATTTTCTTGATATTGAGTAAGACAGCTGGTGGAGTTACACTAATGAGGTCTTTTGAGGAGTGGCTCTAGGGGGTGAGGAAGTCCTAAATATGGAAAGAGGGCTGATCTTTACTGATGTTTGTGTAAAGACTTTTGTAATATTCCACTTACATTTAGCCTATGGCAGAAAGAGTGGTGGGCAGAAGAAAAAGCTGTGGAGCGAGGAACAACAGTTTGGGATGTAACTGAATGTTGTTGCATAGAGTTGTTCTAAGATGCAGCTGATGTAATCAGCGGTTTTCCATGAGAGCTGTGTGGCAGAATCATACTGCCAATGCAGGATACAAAACTGAATATAATTTTTCTAACACTGTTCTTGCAAGGAAATGAGATCAATGATTCATATCAAACAGCTACATGTTTACTGGAGATAATGCAAGTGATCGTACAGCTGAGACTAAGGGAGTACATGGTGCTGGGTTTTTTAGCAGTGATATAATTTAAAAAATATTGTCAAAAAAAAGTATAACATCTATAAAAGTTTTAAGATGCTAATAAATATTTTAGGGAAATATTTTGGTGAAACTTCAAATATGAAGCTGTGAGGAACTGAGATCTTGTACCAGAAGGTACAAATCTCATCATGAACTCAAGTTCAATTGCAGAAGCAAATTTGATGACCTAATCAGTAATACAAAGCTACATAATTACAGTTACAGGAAGTAGATATTCGTTACTTGTCATCCTCTGGGCAAAGTAAGTGTGGTCTTCGGTTATAAATGGTCAAAGCCTCCTGATGAACTCTAGACTCTATTGTACGTGAAGTAACTACTTACACAGAGAAGGCCTTAAAAGCTTTGCTGCGATCTTTGTCTTATTTGTCTCCATTTTCTGAAGGCAACAAGACCAGGTCCCAAAGCCTGGGCTGTTGCAGCATTGCGAAGCTTCCTCACAAAATTTTGTGTGCAACTTCCTTCCTCCTTGTTCAGTGGGTTCTTTGG